AATAATAATAAATACGTTGCATACCGTTGTCTTCATAGTAGTTATTCAGAGGACAAGACATAGACATGATATCTAGTCTAAACACTGTTAGTACAAACCTTTCTTCTCATTGAACTAAGAGAAAATAGCTGTATATCTAGGCTATCTTGTATATAACAGTGTAAGAACTCAGGAAATAAAAATTGAAAGGTATAACACAGTTAAATGGAAAGAGAGAACTTAAGGATTAAACAACATGAAGAGAGAAAGGAACAACATAAAGAGAGTTAGGAACTATGGTAGGGGCAAAACCATACATTTATATAAACAAAATGGTTAAGGCAATGGTCCTAAGAACTTCCATCAGGTTCTTAAAAATAGCAGTTAATGCATAAACTTCTCACCCAGACTAACTCCATATGCATCATAATTATTTTATATTGTTGAGTCATCACCACAAATTAAAACTCATTAGCCAAAAAACTGTAAGAGATTAGAAATACATTTTTTTGCCTTAGGCTTATATATCTAATGTATGCCTATCCTACAGTACACTAAGTCAAACAATATACACTGGATAAAGGTTACAATGGTTTTTATTTTATTTTTAATCTGTTTAAATGAAAAACCCAATGTTATTTGAACCAAATACCTTGCATGTCTACTTTTCAGAAACAAGTGAAAACAAAAACAAAATCTGCCTGGAAAATAAGAACATACTCTGTTGCTAAGGGGAAAAAAATCTGACTATTCACCATTCATCTGACTGTTTTCTAATATATTTCTTTAGAAAATGTTGGTCTTAGTGGCTTGTCAAAGACGATCAATTTAGATCTGCTTAAGAAATAACGTTTTATGTACCGTACTTTTATCTGTAGTCATGGAAGATCAGGGCCTCCTGCTAAAATAAGGAAGTTCTCTGCTTATAGAATACAACATTTGTCTTTCTGTCTTTATGAGGAATTGTTTAACATATTAAAATATTCACAGTATTGATATACTTCACTGAAAAAGTCATATATAAGTTATCAAAAGTAAAGTTTTTTTAATAGGTGAGAGTTATGGGAATCATCTAGCCACTATAATGTATTTTATTGGGGAATTTCAAATATAAGTAGTTAGGTGCACCATGCTGGTGCTGAAACCAGGTGTGGTGGTGCACATCTGTCATCCCAGCACTGGAGAGGCTGAGACAGGAGGATCACTACAAGTACAAGCTGTATAGGGAAACCCAGTATCAAAAGAATAAAATTTTAAAAAACTAAAAAAAAAAAAAGAAAAAGAAAAGAAATAACGTTTTAATGATGAATCAGAAAATTCTAATGAATTTTTAAAATTTAGTGACCTAACTTACTAGTGTCATAAGCATCCTTCATCTGTTCTCAAACAAGCATCCCCCGAGCTTTGAGCCTTCGGGGACAAGTGTCATGGTGCAGCGGATACAGTATACACCACAAAACAGAATGACTGGATTCTCATCTACTACTTCTACTGCGTGTTTGGCCGTGACAGTAACGTCTATTTTCTCATGACCACAGGTAAGAAACAATTCTCTAAATGAGAAAGAAACACTAACACAATGGAAAGGATAGATAAATCTGACACATTAAAATCAAGAGCAAGCTGGTTTCTCTTCAGATCGTATAAATCTTTCACCTTTTAAAATCAAGAACATCTATTTTAAAAGAGAAGCTAAAGTTTTAAAACTTATAAGTGAGGGTTGTTTTTTTTTTACTTTTAACTGACATATATTTTGTCATATTTACAATTCTATATATTGAATAAGAAAGGAGGAAGAGGAGGAGAAGGCAACAGCTAAAATATACAAAGGCTTAACGGACACTTGACAAAAGAGAAAATTCAACAGTCTAATGAATATGAAAAGATGTTCAAGTTCATTAGCAATCAGTAAAATGAAAATTAAATGAAGCCACTTCTCAAACTTTGTTTGAAAATTAAATTATCATATACTGAAGCACCCATATGAGCCCTGGTACACAGCATGTATAAAAGCCATAAATCTGCCTAAGAAGTAACTCAGTGGTAGAATATATACCTAACATACAGGAGGCCCTGGGTTCAATTTCTCCACTGTAAGTAAAAAAATGAGTATCATAAATCCATTCCCAGCGATACTTGTCTGATCTTTGCCAGGGACTATTCATGCAATCAGGAAGCAGCTTTCTAAAGCCGTAATGTTCAGTAATCGCTTGAACTTACACTGGATACTTCAAAGTCTGAGAATCTAATTTGGATTCGCCAGCAGTGAATGTGCACACTGTCATTGTTCCTCAAGCATTTTCAGCGCACTACCTTTATTCCCGACTTCCCATCTTTCTCACTCCACTTTCCTTTACGTGCTATTTTTGTATCCCTTTTAAATTCATTTTGCATTGTTGTACTACAGGCACCTATGAAAGACATTTTTGAAGGATAAGTAGGAAATAAACATTGCAAGACAAGACTTTCAAACACTAGCCAATTGCATTTCCACAAATCCCTCTGAGTGTACTATATCTGTGGGTCAAGAACAAATATGTCAGCTTGTCATACCAGTAGATTTCTAAGGAAAGGTTCAACATCAGCATCCTGAGAATTATACTTGCTGTTGGGCAGGTTCTTTAAATTAGCCTGTTCCAAACATTTTTACCTAACTGGAAGGGATGCAGTCCCTAGGGGTTATCAGTGACCAACAGACTACTCATGTCCCCACGTACCACAGGAGAGGAAGTTGCAGAAGAGTAAGGAAGCGGCGATGTCTCCACAGCTATTTCAGGATCTTCCTGCTCACTTTCACTGTAGCATTCTGTAACAAAAAATCAAAATGTTTAATGCTTCAACATTATTGCCCCCTATTTATTCCATAATTTTTGGGCAGTGGTTTTTCTCCCGTCTGCCTATTGCAATTTCAATCCAATTCTGAAAGAAAGAACTGAATGAACTTCCTGGTGCAAAGGAGTCACTTGAGATGAAAAACCAATGACATCTCTGGTCTTCTGTCCTCAAAGATCACCTGATTTGCAGTAGGAAAACCAATCCCAACTACAGCTCAGGAAAAAAAAAAAAGCTTCTTCAAAGGGGCTGTGAGTCATATTCTATCATATTCTAAGAGGGTATAAAATCAGTAGTAATTACACTTAATGATAAGAATCAAAATGAACTGAGTAAGCTGAAACCAGTCAGGTAACTAAACCATCAGTGATACATAAATAGGGCTTACCGAGCTGAGCCACATATAAGGAAATCCCTAGTGGAGACAGCTGATAGGTTTCAGGGGCTATATCAGGGAATGCCTTAAGGACAAGAATATGAAGTGCTTTTGTACAGTTCTTCTCTCCCCAGCCTATATCCAATGACTCCTTTATGGTAGAAGAGGATCAAGAAGACTGTTAGGACTCCTTTATTCTTTTAAATCAAACTGCCACTTTTCCATTTCAAAATTTAAGTGTTTATTTTGTTATCTAAAAACATAACTCCCTTCTTCCAATTCTTGAGTGCTCCGTAGGCTGAGTACTGTAGAAATAGTATCAGCTTGATGGTCTGGGAACCCAAAGCCTCTCTCTTCTCCACACAAAGGATTTTCATCAGGACCACCATTAAGAAGAATTAGACTCCTGCAACTTTTGAACCCTAAAAGCTACAGACTAGGCCAACTATATGGCCCATGTCCCCAGCTGCCCTTTAGACTGCCAGTATATTCTTAGGGTGATTAGTCTGTGCATATACCTGGTAGAAATATTAAGCTATCAGAGAGGAAATTGTGGGATGAAAGTTTTCTGACTAGCTCATGACAAATTCATGTCTATGAGTAAGAATTCAGTAAGTAGGGCAATAAAAAGCTTGCATTGGCAATTGTTTAAAATCTCAGTGAAGCCAAGCTAGCAAAGTGTGGGTGACGTGTGAAATCATTCACAGCCAGCATGGGAAGCTCTGCTCAATGTTGTTAAGTCCGTGCGAGCACGCGTGTCGCTACCCTTCAGATCAGCTCAAATACCAAACTATTTTCATCAGGACCAGACTCTACATGGAACTTCACATCACTTTTCCCGTTCTATTTCATTCTGTTCTAATATTCTTGCTTACTTGTCAGAAAACTAGAATAGAGCATACCTTCATCCTTTGTCGTGGATTCCTGATGAATTGCAGCTAATCCAAGTTTATTTAGCCACCTAAGATTCAAATAGAAAATGCAATGTAAAATGTAATGTAACTATTTGATCACAGCAATTGACAGGTGTTCAACCTTCCTTCTGCTAAATGCTTGTGAAAGATATCACGGTGAAATTAATTCCTAATGTCACTGTTAGTCTGAACATTTCAGAAACAGTATAAGCTTGCCACATTGAAATCTATGGCCTCTGGTTTTACAATGCTATATTCACTCAAGATGTGCTTTGTGGGTTTGGGGGCATAATTCAGCTGTCTAAGCGCCTGCCTGGCAAGCATAAGGATCCAGGTTCAATCGCACATACTGCATGCTGTGCTGCCTCAGAACTCTGGATGCGCCTTGCCAGGTTCCAAAACTGGGTGTGGTGCCACAAGCCTGCTGGGGAGGCTTAGACGGAAGGATCACTATAAGTCCGAGCTGTGTAGCAAGATCTTGTACCACATGAATTAAAAAAAAAGATGTGTTTTGTAAAATAAGTGAGAAATCACATAATCTAAATTTATGGACAAATACATCTCCTTCTATACTTATACATTGGAAATTTTATCAGCCATCACAACCATTTTGTTACTGAATTTCCTCACTTGACCATTAAGGTTGTGTCTTTATCATTCTCAATGATGTCATTTTACTTCATAAAAAATTAAAGTTGTTCATTTTTAAATCGGAAAGATATTTTTGTCAATAAGTATAATATCTAACTAGAATTGACAAGTGCTCCTAAACTGAGGACCATTTTTAATTCTTTGAAAAAATTTAATGTACCTTTTGTGAAAACTTGATACTAGTCTCTATTCTATGTATTCATTACTTTAATTGGATAATGAATTCAAATTAAATATTAATCACAAAA